GCTACTTGGGAGGCTGAGGCAGGAGAATGGTGGGAACCCAGGAGGTGGAGCTTGCAGTGAGCTGAGATCTGGCCACTGCACTCCAGCCTGGGCGACAGAGCAAGACTCCGTCTCAAAAAAAAAAAAAAAAAAAAGAAACTGCCAATCTAAGCTGGGCACAGTGGTTCATGCCTATAATCCCTGCACTTTGGGAAGCCAAGGTGGGAGGATCGCTTGAGCTCAGGAGTCCAAGACCAGCCCTGGCAACATAATGAGACCCCTGTCTCTATGAAAACAAAACAAAACAACAAAAACCTCAAAAACCAAATGTGGGGAGTTAGAGAAAAAAAATTAGCCAGACATGGTGGTGGGCACCTGTGGTCCCAGCTATTCAGGAGGCTGAGGTGGGAAGATTGCTTGAGCCTGGGAGGTTGAGGCTGCAGTGAGCCACGGTCGCACCACTGCACTCCAGCCCAGGTGACAGAGAGAGACCTTGTCTGAAAAAAAAAGGAAAAGAAAAAGAAAGAAATTGACAATCTTTTTTCCTGAGTGGAAACAGAAACTGACAATCTTTTTTTCCTGAGTGAAAACATTTTCATTTTGTATTCCCACTAGCATGGTGAGAAAGTTCCAGTTGCTCTGTGTTCTTGACAGCACTTGGTATTGTCGGTATTTTTTTTATTTTAGCTGTTATAATGGGCGAATTGCATTGCGATTTTAATTTGCATTTCCCTAATGATTACTCATGTTGAGCATCTTTTTGTGTGTTCATTTACCATCCACATATGGTGAAATGTCTGTTTAAATCTTTTGTGCATTTTTATGGAATTATTTTCTTATTTTTGAGTTTTGGGAGTTGTTTATGTATTCCAGATACAAGCCCTGTGTCAGGCCTCAGTGCTGTGGCTCATGCCTGTAATCCCAGCAATTTGGGAGGTCAAGGCTGGCAGATCACTTGAGGTCAGGAGTTTAAGACCAGCCTGGCCAACATGGTGAAACCCTGTCTCTACTAAAATACAAAAATTAACCAGGCGTGGTGGTGTGGGTCTGTAATCCCAGCTACTCAGGAGGCTGAGGCAGGAGAATTGCCTGAACCTGAAGGCAGAGGTTGCAGTGAGCCAAGACTGTGCCACTGCGCTCCAGCCTAGGCAACAGAGTGAGACTCTGTAAAAAGAAGAAGAAGAAAAAAAAGCACTGTGTTATGCGATTTGCAAATACTTTCCCCTGGTATGTGGCTTGTCTTTTCAGTCTCTTAATAAATTTTGCAGAGCAAAAGTATTTCATTTTGATAATGTCAGATTCATTTTCTTTTTTTTCTTTTTTTTGAAACAGGTTTTACTCTATTACCTAGCCTCAAGTGCAGTGGTACGATCTCGGCTCACTGCAAACTCCACCTCCCAGGCTCAAGCAATTCTACCTCAGCCTCCCAAGCAGCTGGGACTACAGGCGCACAGCACCGCACGCAGCTGATCTTTGTATTTTTTATAGAGATGGCATTTTGCCCTGTTGCCCAGGCTGGTCTTGAACTCCTGAGCTCAAGTGATCTGCCTGCCTTGACTTCTCAAAGTGCTGGGATTACAGGCATGAGCCACCACACCTGGCCTTTTTTTCTTTTATAGATCATGCTTTTGGTATCATATCTAATAATTTTTGACCTAACCTAAGGTCATAATGACTTTCTCCTATGTTTTCTTGGAGAATTTTATAGTTTTAGACTTAATATTTTCATTTAGAGTTAATTTTTGTATATATCATGAAGTGTAGATTAAACTTCATCTTTTAGCATATGGTTATCCAATTGTTCCAACACCATTTGTTGGGAAGGTCATTTGTTGAGATTGTTGTTCCTTCTGTGGAACTGATTTTTTTCTTAATATTTTGTTCCAATTTCAAGGTATTCAAAGGGGACTTGAAATCTGGCAAGAAGTTTGAACCTAGAGGGATAACATGTGTCCCAAAGGAGAGAGCAAGTGATCAACACAGGTTTTTTATTCTCTCCTATACTTTCTACAGGAAGAATTACAGATCCGATTAGTCATCAGTGACTAAAAAGTGAGCTACATCATCAAATAAAGACAATAATGTGGCCGGGTGTGGTGGCTCACACCTGTAATCCCAGCACTTTGGGTGGCTGAGGCAGGTGGATCACTTGAGGCCAGGAATTCGAGACCAGCCTGGCCAATACAGC